GAATTCAGTAAATTAAAACAAAAGGATAATTTTGCCTGGAATACTGAACTAATTGTTGCTCAGAATTAGTTCAATATGAGAAAATCATAGCAAAATGAGCTATAATCTTATTTAAAGTTACAAGAAGATTATGTCGGAATTGACAAATTAATAAAAATAAAACTTAATTTAGCAAGAAATAAAGCAAAATGGCAAATTACAATGAGCAGAACATTCCGCCACCTCCGCCACCGTATACCGCTGAGGAAGCCAAAGTTACTTCAACGATCACTTACAGTAATAATATCCAACCATCAAGCCAGCAGTTTACAACATTACCTCAGAAGTATGATTTTCCGCCTACAGTGGCTTCACCTCCTTCACAACCACTTTTCATGCCTATCATGATGCAACAACGTAATTTTTCACTTCATTTTCTTATAATTTATTTACTTGCTTTTGTAACATTTAAAAACTCTTTACAAAATTCCTTTCCAAATAATTGCTAAGAATCTTAGTTTGCATTTCAAGTTATTTAAAAGTCAACTTGTAATCTAATTTTTTATTTTATGTCGTTGAATAAATTTTAATATCGCGTAAGAAGAGATATTCTTTTTTAGCGAGTATGCCAGCTACGCCTTATCCTGATAACAGGCCTGTAAACGTAATTGTGAATTCCAACAATGCCGACATTGCTGATGGCAAATTTCCAAGCGATTATCGAATATGCATTTTTTGCAAACGTGGAGTTATGAGAAGAAAAAAGTTAGTACAAGTTTTTTATTTCACTTTTCGCTTGAACTGCAAAACTTGACTAACCTTGTACAGCAATTCGTATGCAATTATCAAAAATTTGTGACTTTTAAATTACTAACGCATTTACAATACTAACCACATATTTTCAATCATTTTACGTCATGAATCTGAAACACAGTTAGTCTTAGTCTTAATTTTAGTAATCAGGCTTAGTTGAGTTGCTATCATCCAAATCTTATAACTTAAGTGTATTGCAAACTCACTAAGGTATAAATCTCTTCAGAGATTGGCTGAGAATTGTTGCAGTTTTACTTATCAGTGTCCTCTGTCCACCAATTTCTTTTCTTTGCTGCTTGCTTCTTTGCACTCGCATTGTTTATTACCGAGAATGTTCTGCTTGTCGACATGTTTCCAAAAAAGATCACAAATAACTCACTTTTCGGAAGATTTATTCTCAATCACAGAGCAGTTCATCTCCGGAATTTACCTCTGACGATGATTGTATTGAAAGGAATCACACCAGTTCTTCAAACAGCGAGAAACCACAACGGTGGAAAACTACTACCTACAAGCTCAACACAATGGTTAACCAAGAGTCCACGACCTTCGCCTCCACAACTCTAAGACTGACGTACGTATAACTATCACATACAATTCCCAACTCCGTCAAGCGTCTCCCCCATCCTATGCAGATTTCGGTTACCAAGAAGAAAATTATCAGTTGCAGATACTAGTTAGCTATCAATTATATCCGTGATTTTATTAATTACAGATCACAGAAACTGCAATCACTTGGTGATATTGAAACATTGCAAAATTTTGCGCGAGCACTTGTATGACTATAACTTATTGATGATGGTTAATTTGTTCTGGGTTATAAATTTTTTTGAAATCGTTCAAATAGTACATCATACATAACTGGCATATCTAAAGAATAAGCACTAACTTAGTTTAATCCCAGGGAATATTTATTAAAATAAAACTGGACGATCTCATGAATTACTAGCAATAGAAGATTTTTAAAATAATGGCAACTGGGATAATATGTGAATGTGTCACTATCAAATTACACAGATGTGGGAAGCATTATTTAATCAAATTTCAAAAATAAAAGAATGCGAGCATAAACTCGTTTCTAAATGTCTGGCAATAGTTTCTTAATGTGTGTTTTTGGATGGTGACTGCAAGACTGGTGAAGGTCCTGAGAAATTTAAAGAGCTACTAGAGGACGCTCCAGCGCCTCTATGAGCAGAAGTTACGGGCACACTCGAAGGCGATGTGAAAGCAGGTTTTTGATTGACTCCTGATGAAGAACTTTCTGTTGTTGTCACATCCTGATTATTTACAGATGAATTTTGTCCAGTCTTCTCAACCACTGCACTAGTTGCTGTGACGGGATCATTTTCATTTGACATTTCATTTTCGCCAAAATTGAATTGCTAAAATAAACAATGCATTAAATTAAAGAACTTTTAAATGATCACAGTGCTAACTAAAAATAAACACTTCTGACAAATGTCAAAGTGTTAAAAGTTTTAGCAAATTTGATAAAGTATTACAATACTATTAGGCGGCGGAAATTTGGCAAAAAGCTCCCGTAACATTGCATCTGTCCTGGTCCGTTGATAAAAAGTACTTCGAGCAAGTTGTGGCTTTTCTTCCACCTCAGATGTCTGTAAAAGTACACTTCAGGACAAATAATCAGTCTTAAATCTTTAAATGAAGGAAAAAAAACAAGTTATTGGGTTGAGTAAAAAAAGAGCTCACCTTTTTTGGAGTTTCACTATCAGAGTCTCTGAATTCCCAGTAATAACCTTTGGATATATTAAATCTGAAACCTTCCATCTCTTAATAATCAAACGGGAGTGGCAGTTATTTTTCAGGACGCTAACAAATTAACATCTCGTTAACACTAATTTTAAGATTATTGACAGAGCCAAAATATTTTTTTACAAACTCATAAACTACCTGCTAAACTGACGAGCTTGATCAAGTGCTTGACGAAGTGGGTCGATGACACCAATGAGTTTCGACTGAACGTAAGTGTAAACATCCGGACACTGGTATATTGTCCCATTAACGATGTAATAATATGCCAAAGGTGTAACTTAAAGTTGAAATTTTTCAAAGATTTCATGGCAATGTTTGCAATGTTTCTTAAAATTCAGAATCTCACAAAAACTTTGATAGCATTTCTAATTCTAAATGAAACATCGAAATCAGAAATATGCTACCATTCGTAGGACTGTTTCGCCGTTGTTTCATTATTACATAAAGTGGTGGGAACGCACCAACAACAGTATATTGAATACCCTGCATGGATCTATAAAAAGAACAAAGGCAATTCTCCATGACTACCTGCGCATAATTTTGGACCATTAAACTATTTAATCAGAAAAATGGAAACTGCTTGCTTCATGCAAGCCCAAAGTCATTGTTATTAAAAAGGTGCGCAGTTTGAATTTTCAAATCAAACTTCGGATGGAAATTCCAAGTTTACCTATTTATTACATTGTCTTGAATGAGACTTCATCTTTTAACATATTCGTGGCCAAAAAATTTCAGCACTTGAAAAGCATTTTTTTATGAGTCGAAAATCCATTCAATATTATCTGCAGTTTATGGCAATTACCTTTAACTTCACATCCGAGATATAAAAATGCATGCTTTGAATTGATGTAATGGAGAAAATTATGTTTAGTCACAACTCACTGCAGGCATTCATGCAATGGCCGATTTAGATTTTGCATCCTGATATGCTGATTGCAAGAAGAAACATCGTAAAAGACATTTCCAGGGTCGCAAAAATAGTCCAAAACATTTTCTGGAGTTATGAAATTGGGTGGCCAATTTGGATTTTTAAAGGACTGATGGAATAAAGATATTGTTTGCTGATATGTAGATCCTGGCTGCGAAACCACGTTCGGTACACCCATGTATCCTGTTAAAAGATTGAAAACAGTAACTTCCACAATATGGAATACAGCTCTAAAAACGATGGGACCAGAAAACTGAAAATATAAGCAAGTAAAATGGCTAATCATTTCGATAATAAAATCTAACTCTCGTCACAAAGATCTAATTCCCCATCTCTGTTCAACTCCAACATACATAATATAGTAAAATTTCTTTCGATGACATTTCAAGTACATGTCATTGTTCCATAAATTATTTTAACCAATTAGAACTAACTGTTTGTTAAACTAAATACTTATAGTAAGTATAGCAATGACTCAGAGAATAGTATTAAGCGATAGTGAAAGGAAGAAATAACGAACACGGACAACCTGCATAAATGAAAACTCTGAATAACAAGTAAAATAATATCAGGATAATGCAAGTAAATACCTTGTGGCTGCCCCATCATCATACCACGGCCCGGTCCGCCTCCTTGCATCATTTTCTTTCTGCAGTACTTCAAACTACACATGAAAATGAGACGATTTTATAGAAAACTTCACTAACCCACCTCCTACCCACTACAAAATCTCATACTGCATGCCTACCATGTTTGAAATATAAAATTGCAAGATACTGAATGAACAAACACCAGTAAATTTATAAATGGTAATAGCCTTTTGCAGTTACACCAAATGCAAACTCAGCAACCTTTATTTCAAAACGAGAGTCATGGAAAAGGTATAGAGAGACAAGTAGAATTTCTTCACCATTTCAATTTTCTATAATCGTATTGTTAAGCTAATGACATCGAACCAATAGCACACAAAGAAGTTTCAGGATCACATATTTATTTAAAACTTGGCACTGTAATCAAAATTCAAATAATCACAAGGTTCAACTGTTTCGTCTCTACGAAGCAGCAAATCCCAGTGCAGATGAGAACTATTTGATATTCCTGGAGGTCCACGATTGATAAGAGAAGCTGTTTTTAACTCTCTGAAACAAAAACTGCAAAATCAATGGCGTGCTAATACCAATTTATAAAATAGGTTCGAATAATTTCGCTACAATCGTAAGGTACAAGTCAAAATTGACGCTACTGCAATAATTTTTTCTTTTAACTTCTTAATTCCTGAAACTGTTAAGAATTAATCTTTATTCTCAGTCTACATGGTGGACTGAAATTGAAAGTGCTGCAAGCAAAAATAAACTCAAAAATATTATTCCAGCTAATAAATTGTACATAGGCCTGCAAATCGAGACATATACTTAAGTATGTTAATTTTTTCATGCCTTAAAAATTGTTCAGCATACGCATTTCCACCAATCGTACGACATTTATCGATCACATTGGCAACATTTCGACACATGCGTGAGTGTTCACTTAACAATTCATGGTCATTTTTACTCGTCACCACATCTGCGAAAAAACAATGATTTCTTTCATTTTTTAAACACCTCTGACAGCATAAATTTTGTAAACTGTCTAATTCGAGCCATCATTCAAAAGAGACGTTAAAAATCTGCTCTCAGTTCATTCAAAATATAAACTTCGTGCTGATAAAATATATAAATGTTGATTGCCACATTTTGACGCAAGTGTGAGTGTTCGCTTAACAAAAAAAAGAAAAAAAAAACAAGAACATGTAAAAGTGGTTTCAACCATAAAGCAAAAGATTACAATACAACTGCATTACAGATTTTGTCAATATTTTGCTGCTTAAAGTTATTCCAAATATTTTCCAGACAAGAAATAAATTCGATGATAATGCAGTTAAATTTGAAAAAGCGAAAAATACCAACGTCGTGGTGCTTGCAAATCTTTCTTATACACAGCTGCCGCATGACTTAGTGACTTAGTATCATTTAATGGTGGTAGATGAGAAGTAGCCGCAGAAGTTTCAACCATAAGTAGATCAGGTTGGATTTTCGACAATGAATCTAGTGACATCTTGCTTCTGAAAATTCTTAAAACTAGTCTCATTGATTTCAATATGTACATACGACGAAACAAAAGTATACAGCAACAACTTGGTAATATTTAGAAGTTTAATTAATACGGTGAAAATGAATGCAATCTCCTAAGAAGAAAAACCTGTGCGAAAAGAATATTCATACATGAACTTCAAGGACCATTTTTAGATGATACATCTTGCAATTTTCAATGTCCATAGATGTACACACACTAGTAAAATTAAAATTCTGAGCCAAAAATGAAATTTTAGAGAAAATGCAAACATCTTTCTAAAAAATCATAGAAGATTATTACAAAAGCCACTAATTAACCAACCCTCGTGCAAAAAGCACGTAAGTTAAGTCAACCAACCTATTAAGGCTTTATAAGTCAGCAATCAGTGCCTTATCTAAGAATGGTTTGTTACAGAAATGGAAATTCTCGCTGCAGTACGACGCTGAAATTTATCATTGCGAATATTCCACAATGCAACGGAATGTATCGCTAAGTTATTCAGACTAAATTTGAGGTAGTTTTGCCATATTCCTGGAGTTCTGTTTATTTTTGTAGTTGTTTACTGGCATTTAAATTATGATAATGTTAGATTTGGTTAAATGGAATAAAATCTCCTCTCTTCACTACTAAAAATGGCAATAGTATGGGTGAATGTGGTGCAAATTCACGGGAGCGTTTTGTGGAAAGCATTAGAAGTCAACTTGATGTGTTGTCTGAATTCTTCTTAGAATTAAAGTGTAGTACACATAATGCTAATTTTTTATCAGATAGATACATACATTTTTATACAAAATCTATACCGTAAAAAATTCAATTTTCATCTGTTTTGTTTATTTTATGTACAAATGTTTATAGCAATGTAAGCTTCTATCACTTTACTATAAATTTAGTCAATCACAAAGTTTCCATTCGTAAGTAGTTGACGAGGGGATAAATTACCTTTGTAATATTTGTCTTCTTTGACACCTTATCACTCTTTTATAACTTAAAAAGTTACTGTAGAAAAGGCATAATTTCCATTTGAATGTCATCTTTGATCATGTTTATTTTTCGAAAAATTCATATTATACTGATTTTTAAACAAAGCCCAAATTTTGTTTCTGTAAAATTTTAAATATTACAGAAGCAAAATTGAAATGGAAAATTGCATTCTAAAAAGTAAACTGTTCACGACACAAAAGTCGTATACTTGTTTTTATGTGAAAAATTAAGCATAGAACTTTAACTTACTGTTACTGTTAAAAATTATGCACCAAATACTTACACTATTTTCAATTTAGGATCAAATCTTTTTAATGAAATAGTAATTTGACTAGTTATATATAAGTGATAGAAAAGAGGAATTGCAATTTTTTAATTACGTAAGTGACGCTTGCAATTCATCATCCCAGTCGTATGGTTCATCTGCTTTTATACTGTACTTTTTCATTGCTAATTTGAGCAGTTTCGTAAGAAAACCGTGGTCTGGTTGACTGTAATAAGTTAAGGAATCTATGTATGCCAACATACGTCGAAACTCAACCTGCAATATAATTTACATGCAGATTCAGTGTTTTCATAAGTGAATTTGTAGTTTTTCAGAATTCTTGCTCATAAAAGTATTGATAACAGTTATCGTAATTATAATCGGATTACTAAAATCAGTTTTAATTGTTTAAAAACAGTGAAAATATTAAACTTTGCTAAAAAGAATGCTTACTTTTGGACAATCTTTAAGAAGTATTTTGAGTGCTTCAGAAGCTCGAGATTCTTCTTTCTTCTGTTGCACCTGAATACGATCCGTTCGAGGGAAATCACTCCATGGAAGTTCTCCTTCAAATTAGTTCTGCGCTTATTTCAGACTTTTTCAAACTTCGCAAACATTAAAATTTTTATGGTAATGGAAATTGTTTAACCAGGTGCTACTACTGCATATAAATGCAGTTTGCTTTTATAAACGAATTAACTTTCGGTAAATTAATTTGAAATGAATTCGTTTTAAAGAATTCTCACCAGAAATCATTTCGATCAGCATGTAAAACCAAGACTCTAGATCGTCCTTCGGTGAAAGCTCTTCTTCTCGATGAGCTGCTAGTGATGCGTACCGAGCTGACCCTCTGAAATCTCATACAGTATCACAAGTAAAGTTAAATTTATTTCAGAATTATGTGAGAAACGGAATTTCGTCAAATTAATCATTATTCTATTTCTTTGCATCAAAAAACTGCTTATTTATAAATCTTTCTCTTTGGGAATAGATATTTGATATATGGTCATGTTCTGGATTCATTATTAATTATAAAACTAATTAGTAGTTCAGCCCAATAAAAATGAGTAGCTGAAGAATGTACTCCTGAATCTTAAAATCTAACCGAAATGAAGTTTTTTGCCGGGGTGGTTTGATTCCATTAGTTGGGCTTCGATACAGTCGACATAGTCCGAAATCAATTATGTATACTTTTACCGTCGATTCAGAAGTATCACTGATTGTAAAATTAGATGCCTGTTTCCAGCAAAAAGCATTTTTTAATGCAAAATTCGAAAATAGGTTGATTTTTGAAAATAAATTAGCAATTGCTAAGTAAAATTATTCTTTACGAATTCAATTTTGCTACCATAACGATATTTTTTTAAAATTCTGTATACATTTCTGCCATTCATTCAAATGATCTGCTCTTGTTTTTAAAAAGAAAAAATGAAGTCATTGCTTTGTCTGCTTGACAAAGTGACAAAATACAAATACAAAAAGCTTGTAAATGAAATCAAAATGCAAAAGTGAAAATAATTAAACAAATCAGTCAGTTACAAAATAAAATTAGTGGCAGTCATTAAGAATAATATACGAACTTTGACATCCCTATGCACAAATCCCATTTTATGTAATTCTTCTAATGCAGCTAGTGTATGAATCCCAAGTCGAAGTGCAGTCGACAAGGAAAAGTGTCTTTCAATGAATGAGTGTCGCAGCTTTTGCAGGTTATCACCAAGCTAAAAGTGAATATTCTATCTCAAATTCAGAAAAAAAATTTAAGCATAATTTAAAGCTAAATATGTGAGTAATGAAATTAAATCCTAAAACTTGAAAATTCTATTAAAAAATTAGTAGTTAAGTTTATAAAATTTACAAGTTAAGATAATTTTGCAATTTTTATATATATATATATATGTACATAATTTAAAAAGTATTTAAAATTATCAGAATTTTATTAAATTTCAAATATATGTATATTTATTTGTATGCTCATTTGTTTTGCTTTTTTTCTGAACTTTTGTAAACCTGTCGTTGTTGGTAGAATACAAAAAATTAAAAAGAAAGCTCGCAGCTGCAATCTATTCAAATTTTGCGATTTAAAATGACTTGAAAAGTTCACTGAACCTTCTGTCAAACTTTTCCATATTAATCTGTCATTTAAATGTTTAATGTCCTAAAAAGTAACCATTTTCATTACGATGAATTTGAAATGATTTTCAATCTTTCCTCGATCAACCAATTCAACAATATATTTACAGCCAACTTTTAAAGCTTGTTGTAAGATAGTATAATCCATGTTTATTCCATGAAAATGTGATTCACACATTTCTAATTTTGCTGCAAAGCGCTTACCATCTGTGCGTCTTAGTACCTAGAAAGCAGTAAAACAAATTGAATTGCAAATCACATTTTAGATTTTGATAAATTTTAAAAAAGACATCATTTTCTGATATTTTTAATTATTACTTTTATTATTTTATACAATTACTCATTACTTTTTCATGAACAATATTTTTGGATCTTACTCGTTTATAATAATCGTATATTTTTAAATTTGACAAAAATTTTGAAGATTTTCATCTCTCCGCATATATCACTCTTACACAATATGAAGTAGAATATTTTTAAGCTTTATATCTTGTTTAAATACACTAAAAAGCTTCATTCATTTGTCACGCTTGTTAAGTATTAGAAGTCTGCATTTGTTCAAGTCCTCTTACTTCGTAAACGGCTCCAAATCGTCCACGTGAAATCATTTTGCCAATTGCAAATTCGAAATCTTTCCCTTTGATGAGAACATTCTTGCTTGGTAAGCGATTTGTAATAAAACTTTCGTCCTTATCACAGCTTCCTTCTCGGGAAGTCATATTTGCTTCATTCATTTCTGTAACAAATATTGTCTTCGCATTTCGACGACAGTAAGTGCCACGTAAAATAAATAACAAACAGTTAAGATTTACAATATATTCTAGCAGTGATGTATGAAGTAATTGACTGTTGAAAATTCCATAAACCTAATTTTTATAAAAATGATTAGTGAGTAAATTTGCAACTTTGTTGAAAAACTTTTAAAGGATTTGAAACAAAAGTGAATAAACGACATGTCATAAAATTCACAAAAAGTTTAAAATTCATACAAATCATTTTGAATTTGAATATTATCAAATTTATTCGAAAATAAAAAGTTGGATGAGAAATTTAGATTTTAGAAAGAATTGGTTGAGAGGTCAAATAAATGCAACTAAGGAATAAACTCAAAGTAAAACAGATAAAGTCAATTAAAGCTTTGACTGTGCAAATTTGTGCTCAAAAGAATTCTCATTTTTAAAACAGCTGTTTACATCAATTAAGTAATAACCAAAATAATTGCTTGAAAATATCTTTAGCAGAAGTTTGCATTTTAAATTATTAGTTCACAAGAAAAAACAAACAGATGCATTATAATTACTGAAGCAACCAAAGTCAAAAGTGTTAAAAGTATTTAAAAAATCATAAATTTGATAAAGTTTATTTATTCAGATCACTTTTTATTACAATAATATTATTTTTTGAATACTTTGCACAGTTTTTATAGCATATTAATAGTTTTATCGTATAATTTTATTGTTCAAAAATATAAAAAAATTAATAAATTTGAAATGAAAGTTTATAGCTCTTTGTGTTTTGCAGAAAAAACTTTTTATTTCATGCAATATAATTTTTTACGTAAAATTATTCAATATTAAGAACATAGATAATTTTAATTAAAAAAAATCTGATCAAGTCAATGAGTTAGTGATAAGTACAATCAAGTGATATTGCATAGTGATCAATTAATAATCTGACTGATCTTTATTTTTATGATCGAATATCACCCTACTGATTCAATCACTTGTTGATTTGCTAAAAGTGATGATGTATTTTTCGTTGGTTAAGCGTAAACATTTTTATCGCATACGAGACAGCTTTGAGATAGATTTTGCTGTTGATATTTATCGCAAAATGCTAAGCACTTATTCCTTAGAAATCAACTTATTGAAAGGTCATCGTTTTTTGTATACAATATAGTAATAGCTTGAATTTAATTCAAAACATTGAACTTTTTCAAACTATCACTTCTGTGATAGAATAATTTTGAAAACAAAGCAGAACAATGACAGATCAGAAATGATAAAAGTAAATATTAAAAAATGGAATTCGATTCCATCACAATTACTAACTTACAATATTTAAAGTGATAACTTACTTGCTTGCTTTGCATTGCGCATTCAGAGCTTACTATCATTTTCAGTGCAAAAATGACAAGAAAAAATTACAAAAAAATACGAATTGGTAGCAACAAAACATGGAATGTGCTTATTCTGACAAAAAATAAATCTTACCTAATAAGATTATTACTTGTTATAGATTTAAAATGGTATATTACTCATAAGTAATATATATATATTACTCATTAGAGATCGTGAAATACTACAAATTTGAATGCTTTACTTTTTTGATTTTAAATTTATAAGTTAAGATTAGAAAAAATCAATGCTTGCAACAGCAATTGGATTAATGAAAAAATATTATTTCAAAAAATTAGAACTTGGAAATTGAAAAGTAACTGCTCGAGAAGACTAGTAGACAATATCAGAGATATGATCAAAAAGAATTGCAGTTAGTTTGCACAAGTGAAAGAGGTAAGCAGGAGGCAGTACTTGATCTCGAGCTCGAGCCAGCAAACCAACTTCAGTTACAGCTGAGTAATCTCGAACAATACGCTTTTCATACGTAATCGAAAGTAAACGTTAATGTAATACCAGAAGCTGCCATGTTATCTGCTGAAATCACACGTTTCATACTTTTTTCCTGCACTTTTTCGTATCTGCTTGTACTTATTCTTCAATTTAAGAATAAATTGCACTATTTTTTCTCACTTTGGTTGCACTGCTCACTTTATACTTTTTGCAGTTAAATTTATATTTAAGAAAATTGAGCGCAATTCGTTCGGACAAAAGTATTGACTTACTTTTGTAATTCATCGTCTTAAGTGATAAGACTAATTTCTACATTCGGTAGAAAAGAGATCAATGATTATTGTTTTCCACCACACATATGCCTTGTGTTTGTTGCATTTATCAACGTGACTTGAATTGAAAGTGACTTCTTTATTTTTGCGCGTTTTATTAACACGTATTTACAATGTTATTGATAATTTATGTCTTATTTAGATATTTCGATAACTTTTTTAATTTTACGTTTTTATTGAGTGGCTATGATAATACTGCTAAAATAATGCAACATTATCACAGACCGCGCAATAAAGTGACTTGTTTTTTTGCTTTGCTCAACTTTGGTAAAATTTTTGGTACATTGTTGTATTGCATGAGATATGGTACGATTTAAATTGCAAAAAAATTGTAAATAAGACAAAAATAAAATTGAACTAAAATTTTCAAAGTGTATTTATTTTATTAATATTGAAAAATTTGGTGTTTAGTCATTGAAATGAAAAAGTAAATTCATTTGAGTGCAAAAAAGAGCAAAATTAAAATGAAAGGTTATAAAATATAACAAAAAAATTATTAATTCTATGAGCACATATAGAAATTTGAAAGAGCGAAAAGAGCCATCACTGAGTTTAAACTTCAATGAATCTAAAATGAATCTGTTATTCTGATGAAATATTTTATTTACGATATCCAAATGATTCTGAAGGCTAATAATTTTGCTTAATTTACAAAAATTGAAGCACTGTGAAACTTATCAAATTTCTATGCAACGTTGCAAAGCAATGCCAAATCATAATTTATGCATTTATTTTTCAAAATTAGATAAACGAGCAATCACAATAATTTTCAATACTTTTAAGCATTTTAAGCATTTTTTTAAATTTATTTTTTGAGTGAAAAATCGTAAATAGAATACTTTATCAGAATTCGTATGTCAACATTTTGCATTTCATTAATTTGCTAAAATTAGTAAGTAAAAAAGTCAATTTTAAGGATAAATTTTAATGTGCTTAAAAGAACTTTATAAGACTTTTCAAGGCATCAAAAATATTGCTGATTCCAGTTTGTATCTTCTGGAAAGATGACGAAGAATCACTCGTAAGCTGCTGTGATACATTCAGCGGAATGAAAGCATCATCGATTTCTGAACTATCATTCGTGAAATTCTTGCAACCTTTTTTGCCATATGCAGGCACCTAAAAGTTGAAACCTACGTATGATCACTTCTAAACAAAAACATAGCATTAAAATATGGTGCGAGAGAGAATTAACTGAAAACACAAACCTTAACATTGAAATAATATCGGTGATCTTTGATAAAGGTTTTGAGGTGTTTAATGTCGAATAATAAACTATCACTGCACTCAAAATCTTCATTTATTGGCGTATTCAAGCATTCATAATATTTTGCATTTTCATGCATTCCGTATGGATACCTAAAAGTTATCTATCTTTACTAGTTTATTTGAGTGCGTTTTCATATCGTACTGAAAACGTACCAAATCTCGACACCATGATGATATGGAAAGCTGTTGTTTGTAGCCAGGCAAGGTTTGCTTTCATCTATTTCTGAATTCGCAATGCTTGCATTCTTTTTGCACGGTGGTAAATGTGGTATGATATCCGCGCGATTTACTACTCGAAAACTAATAATTTAATCTATATTAGTTCAAATCATCATTGTTTAAAAATATGTGAATAAAAAATAAGACAAGTAAGTTACTTTTTTATAGCCATATTAATAAGTAATATTGAATGACCTATATGGGATATGTGTAGAATGATACATTGCAAATTGGTAATCACCAATTCGAGGCTCGCCAAATGTTACTAACTTAATTTCATTTCCGTCACGCAAATTTTGTACTACGGTGCGAACTGCGGCCAAAGACGCAAGTGCCCCGCCTAAACTCAAATAATTTATTTTGCTTATAGTATTTTTGATTATTATTA